GTCGAAAAGTCTTCTACCATTTTGTAAATTTCCCCAATAGTTAACGAGATATTGATTCTCAATATTAATTCTTAAAGATAGCCCAATACGTGCGCTCGCCCAGCCTACTATTGCAAAGTATGTGCCTACCGATCGCTTGGCGCGGACTTTGGAAGTTGAGGATTGGCTGGCAAGTGCCCCGCGCTGCGCATACCGCCGCAAGCCTCCATAGCTCAGACGGCGCGCTTGCCAGGCTATCCCCGCTTTCCACGGCCCGTGCGATCGGCGTATACACTTCACAGTAGTATTCGGCTATTTTTAAGGATTAATATCTTGTTAACTATTGAGGAAATTTACAAAATGGTAGAGGACTTTTCGACTCAGTTTAGTCCGCTCTACTTGCCCATGAAATATTTGGCGATTATTTCCAGACACCCTGTGTATATATATATATATATACACAGAAAGTTTGTACCGCAAAAGATTTAAATTTAATAAATGTATACTAAAATTTAAATCTTCTACGTTTCAATTTTCCTTCAAAATCGGCGAACTTTCCGGACAACCCAATATATATACAATCCTTAGAATTTTGATAATTTACAAACATTTCCTAAAAAAGTTACATAATTTATGTAGTGAAAAGAAATCCATTATTTTTGCATGAAATTGAATGAAAAAATAATGGATTTCTTTTTACTACACCTAATACTTACATAATTTAAATACTTTGCATTTAATACTTACATAATATAAATTATACTTATGTAATTTTACTTATATAATACTTAAACAATTTATATTTATAATGTGTGTGCCCAGATAGCTAAAATATTCAAAAATACATCATATCCTAAAGATGCCGTATTTGTAGCCTATTCTTAGACGTATTTTAGATAATCTATTCTATGGGTGTAAAGACTATTTTATAATATAGTCTAGGGTAATTGTCTCTATTAATATGCCTTTTAGCCAATTTGCTTATTACTGAATTAATTATTAAATATTGTAGTTTTAATTTTATTTGCTTGCAATCAATATTGGTTTTTCAACTACTTCTTTTTCTTATAATATTTCTTTAATCTAAAAAATGTTAATACTTTATAATGCTTTTGACAAAAATAGAAAACATGTTTTTGTCCCTATTAATGAGTTCTCTAAACGGCAATAGCCCTATTAATGTGTCCCCCAATTTGTGTGCCTATCCATTTGATTCATTTTAACATATAGTTTCTAAAATAGGTAATAAATTTAAGCTAATTGTTTATGTTAATATATTACATAAATCATTATTTCAATTATATTTATTTCAAAGTACACTCACACGTTCTCAGCTCCAATATAAGACACATCAATAGGGACAAGTTTAAAATTTTGCTGTACGTATTATTGGATTCACATAAATTCCTCATATTGAAAAATATTTAAAATACTTTAATACTCAAAAAATAAAATATTATCTTCGGTATCGTATGCATTAACAATTTAACTTAAGGAAAAAAAAAATTTTTTTCTTATTTATTTATGCTAGTTTTCTTTATGACTTATCGAAATACAAAAGCACATTAATAGGGACAGGTATAGTAATTGGGACAGTTATCTTACATATTGTTTACAAAAGATAATGTAAACATCATATAGATTTCACGTAAATAATCCGTGTAGACATAATCTGAAAATTTATGGCACAACTTTGTGCCGTAAAAAAACAGACGAAGTCTGCGAAATTTAATCCTCATTATCATAAAAATGTTAATACTGAAAATATGTGAATTGATTTGTATTCAATTGTATTAATTATCAGTGTGAACCAATGTATTGCACTAGTTTTCTCAGAAGAAAATATTATTTATCTCCAAACTTCTTTATCACCCTATAGTGTGTATTGCTAGCACTTGTCGACTTGTCCTACTACTCTCTACAATCCCCACCACGTGCAGCATGACAGTTTCGTCTGCAATCCGGCAGCTCCTTTTTAGAGACAATTCCAGAGACAATTCGTGATCGTTCGTCGATTTGTTCGCGTGTTAGATACGGGTCGTCCGCAGGATAGTGCGAAATTCTTGGTGCGAAATTCTCGGCTCCGTGATCACGACACCGCGACTTCATATCATTAAACGGCAACGACGATAGAAAACGGTGGCACGCTCGTCATTTGATCATCAAAGAATCCAATGTCGCGCGTTGTCATGAACGTGACAATAGCATTCGAGCTATAGACCCGTCGAGGTCTTTTTCTCCCTCTCTCTTCCTCTCTGGCTATTTCTCAGTGGTCTCAGTCTCTCTTTCGATTGCTTTCGGTTCCTTTCATGGCAAATGGTTCTTCGTGATCGCGGACCATCGGCGGACTCACGAATCCTCTTTGTGCGTTGTCGCTCACAACAACGCGGTGTTTGTACACGCGATGGACGAGGATAAACACCTGCACGCGACGCGACCTCGTTAAAGACTTTGACGGTAATAATTCGCAAATACAACGGAGATCTCCAAAGAATTCACCGCGATCCCCGCGCGTCCACTGACGTGCTGGAAAATTGCCGCCTCCTCGACAAAAATCGTGTTGAACGCAAATATAACGCAGATTTGACGACGAAGGTGGACAAGCAGCAACGTAACGTTAACGTCGTACGTGTCTTCGGTTTGTTTATCATCTTAACTGTGTTCAGTGTTTGGGCGCTCGCGCGTTATAAAGTTGTGTTCTGATATGTATATATTATACTGCCAGTACTGAACTGCAGTAGAATTATATTATACGTAAAGCAGTGTTTACAATGAGTAATCTTAAGCTTTAAGCTTTAAGATTATTAGTGCTTTCCAGCAAGATGCTTTCTATTTGGTGACATAAGTTGACACAGGTTGACAAATGTTGTTTTTTATTATTCAATGAATGCGAAAAATGAACGATGCTTATAAAAAATTGTATCATTGAATAGAAACCACCCACAGCGTAACCCAATGATTACTTCATCTTTGTTTAGCATTGACAAACAAGGATTCATTGTGTATATACAAACATGTACACTATTAATACGTTCCATTTTCATTCTCACAGGCTGTAAGCCTCAGTTCATTCTTGTCTATCAAATATCAAACAAGAATTAATGATGCTTACAAGCGTTATAAGCGCAAAACACAAAAAACGGAACATTGAGTGTCTTCCATTTAATGACACAAGTCGACACAAATATCATTCTGTCTTTGTTATTCATAGAATGCAAAGAAAGAAAGAATAACATTTGTGTCGACTTATGTCACTAAATGGAAGGCAACCATTGTGTCATCTCTGTCTCTTGTTGGAAAGCATTCTATGACATATCAAAAACTGAAGCAGTAAGCAAATTAACATTTTGAATTTGCAATTATGTTATTGCCTTATAGCCTTTGTTGTGATTGTGTGGCCAATTTGCTTATTGCTTAAGTTTTTTTTGTGTGTCATAGCCTTTAAGCAATAAAAAATTAACTAATCATCAATTATTCTCATATTCCACTGTGATTAGTCAATTTCTTTTTCAAAGCTTAAAGCCTAAATTTTATACACAATCAATAAAAAATAAAGGTTCATAATGACTGGATCTTTGATACTTAAATATTTCCAGTGAATTTATATATGTAAGTACATGTATGAACATACATATATACTATATTTAACCTATGCGCCGAATTAAGTTTTTTCGAACTTAATTCGGCGCTTAGTTTAAATGACTATAAATATTATATATGTATGCACATATATAATATATACAAAAATTCACATGAAATTATTGAAGCATTAAAGATTCAACTTCAATTATTATGGATTTTTATTTCTTATTGGTTGTGTTTTTATAGGATCTAATAAGATTTTTAGGCCCTGTGCACAATAGGAATAAGGAATTAAGGAATAAAGAATAAACGATTTTAACCTATCAGAAATCGAAATATATGGTTTCTGATAGGTTGAAATCTTTTATTGTGCGTGGCCTTACTCTTCAAGTTTTCCATCTTAAAATCTTATTAGATCATTGAATTATAAATTTCAGTACTCGTAGCGTGTATCAGAACACAAGTCTAAACTTCTACCTTTCTTCCACAAGTAATAAGTGATGACAATAGTTTTGTGTATAGCGATTCTCTTTATGGCCAATTTCTTTATCTTTAGATAACTTTAGAAATTTCTTGAATAATAAATAAATGATATTTAAGAAATATTTAAGAGATATCTGGAAGATATCTCATGGATAAAATTATCAGCAACTTATCTGAAAAATTAGCTATCAGATCATGAGTCAGAAATCTATCCAATGCTCCGACTCTTAGGCTATATCCATACAAACTTACATAGTCGCATAAACGTATACATAAAGAAAATTATCCAATCACATTTTACATGCTTTGTAAGAGAAATGCAATTGGATAATTTTTTTTATGCATGTTTATGCGGCTGTGTAAGTTTGTGTGGATATACCCTTAATGACAGTTTAGTGTTGTTATGGCTATGTTCCAAAATTTACTACAAAAATCTATAGTTTACGTCATATGCATTATAGATTTTCAGGCAGTAAATTTTAGGATACAGCCTTTATTGTTGATGCATAGCTTTTTATATTTCATCATATTTATCAGATATTATATTGTAATATCTTATACTATAATATCTGCACAATGATAATACAACGATACTGAACTGTCATCAAGAGGAAAATAAAAATTGTTCAATTCTAAGCAAAATCGTAAGACTAGTAACTTGTTCTCGTAAAACTTACTATGATTGATATTGTAATTCTATTTATATATGTATCGTAAGATCATTCGTACGATCATTCAGTAAATATCTACGATTTCTCGTATAAAAATTTATGACTAGTTCGTAAAGGTGGTGCATAAAATTATAAACTCTTATGTAAAATTCTGACTAAAATTCAAGTCTTACGAGAACATATCACGAATTTTACGATTCTGTTTAAAATTGATCAAAAGAAATGAGGCTTACAGCGCGCGAGCGCTTAAACCGAACGCAGTTTAGCTCCAATATAAATACTTCAATATAAATACTCAGTCAAGAGCGATATATTCTGATAGCGTATGAAATTTCATCCAGATCTGTTCACGACGGGACACGGGATGCTCGCCAGAGTCAGAATCTCCGAGAGTCTCCGGAGAGTCTCTTCGAGCGTCCCTCCTCGCGCGCGCGATCGATATTGCCCTTGAACTAACGTGTCGCGCCTTATTATAAACGCGCGCGTGTGCTAATTAGCGAATCGGAGTTGCAGCACACGCGCCGCGCGTATCACACGTATATGCACGCGAGCTCGTCCTTCGCGCGTATATTTATATCGAGGCATGCAATATCGAACTCAAAGCAGACGTCTCCGACAGCTTGCGGAGGCGCGTCTGCATTTAGGTGCGTGGCCTCGTGACCTGCAATTTTCGCGCCGAAGCTGAAGCTTGACAGTGCGAAAACATCACTCTTGCAAGTGTATGTGCATGTGCGGTACGTTATACGTTCGTGCGTCCGTCCGTCCGTCCGTCCACTTGGCCGTCAGTCACATCGTCCATATAGTGTTTCTTCCATCATGAGTGTCTGCTGTACGACGTGAAGTGTAGCAATCGGCCGACCGAGCGCGAACCTTTTCGCTTCGCCGTGAGATTAGCTGCTGGCGCATCCGCTGCCGGAGTTCATCTCGGATGTTTTGGTAGCTGACTTTGTTCCCTTTTCTCTCTCCGTAACGAAAACGTCGGGTAAAAATCCGTCGAGCATCCCGCGTCGCGCCGAGAGGGATTCGGACGTGTACGCGTCATAGTTGATCCCGCGACGCGTCGACGATCACGCGCGCGCATCTATAAAGACAGCCGCTCCGGATGCTGTTTCGGGCAGCGTCGGGGAACAATGATGTCACGTACGGAGACATAAGCCGTTTCCTCGCGGCAGGTGCGTCTGGATCTTCGGAATCTCGCGCGGAATTACGCGCGCCTTTCTGTCGCTCTTCATTCTCCCTTCGCATTCGCCAAATATGATCCATCCCTCAATATTTCTAAATTCCGTCGAATACACGTAAAAATGTAAATCCCCGCCGCGATCGTTGATATTCTACATCGTATTAATATTTAAATTTAAATTTCTTCTTCCTAAAGTGACTACATTTATATCGTATTTAGGACAGAACATTAATTGGATCAACGCAGCACGATTTCCTTGGGAGCTTCTTGCAGTCGATGCTACGTCCATAGGAACGATCCGATAGTTTACTCTGCTCGAGAAAGAGGATAAAAGAAACGTCAGTACAGAAGACTCTAGAAGCGCGCTAATTGAAACAATGGATTCGGAAGAGGAAACGCTTTATGATGATGTTGACTCCGGCAATGAGTCCAGCGGCGATGACGTTGATTTTGCTATGGAAATAGAGTCTGGTAATCCACGGGAACGAGCTACCGATGTCGACGAGTATCCCTTTGAAGTACTTTCCACAGAAGAAATTGTACAGCACATGGTTGACTCCATAAAGGAAGTCAACACTGTTGTCGAAGTAAGTTTCATAATTTAAGGATAAATTACAATAAAAATTCCAATTCAAGTCCTAGGGAATAAATCAATTGAATGTATAAAGTGCTCTATCTGAACCAGGAGTGTAAGAGTACAATTTCTTATTTTATTTAAAGATGTATATAATACAAAGATGTATATAAATGTTTCGATCCGTGTTTTGTAATTCGTAATCTTTAATTACAATTAATAATTACAATTATGATGTATCGTATTTACATAAATGATCAGATGAATATTCTTGATGCAAAGGAGTTTACTGAAGAATATATTCTAACCATTTATGTAAATGACATCGTAATTGTAATTATTATAGTTTGTGTATTACTTATACTAAGGAGGATCCAAAACGGATCAAAACGCATTTATAAGTATTATATACACTTTTAAATAAAATAAGAAATTGCATTCGTATACTTGTGCTGGCTCAAATAGGCTTTATACATTCGATTGAGTTATGGATAAAATTAAGTCTATTCTTTGTTGGATAAACTAGTATACACTTGTCGCACTTAAAATGAAATAGGTACATATTTGAAGTTTGACAAAAGTGAGATGGAAAGTTTTAGGAGTCTAGTGTAGGCTAGGTATTACATTTGTTTGGTATTACGTTTGTTGTACGATAAAGATTTTAAAATTATTGATTGGTTATAGAATAAAGAGATCCGACAACTTTTCTTTCTTGCAGCCAATCAATAGGCTTTATCATATGATAAATGTAATATCTGCCTAGTGCAACGACGAAGTGACCCTGATTCTACATTATCCTCCTATAGTATCTTCGCTTAATTATAGAACTTGTGCATTGTGTAACAGAAAAAAAAGTTTCAAGGTATATATTATTTACTTTTTACCCATTTTGTTATATTGATTAGATGAGCAAAACAACATTAAATCAGATCCAATCCTACTTTTTTGGATATCTTAAAAATTTATCTTATCATAGGAAGGTTAATTGTAAGCTAATTGCAAACTTGTCATCGACGATCAATCTAAAGCGTTAATTTTTAGATTAATGTTTTAGAATGGCTATTGGAAAGCAAACTTGTGATTTAACTTGCAACTAATGTAGAATCAGAAGATCAATTGCGTCTTGAAACGAGATAAAAATTACACAATATTGTCCAATGAAATTATAAATATTCTGAATTTATTAACTTTTGTAATTTTTATTTAATTTTAAGATACACAATCGATCTTTAGGATGAGATACAATTGAAAAACACAGGTAATAACAATTCCAGAAATCGTGTAATGGTTCATCAGAATACATGATTTTTGATAGATGAAATCTGTTTTTTCCCCTGTTCCCATTGCCTGTGTTTTTTAATTATGTTTTAGATCTTTTGCTTTTCTCAAAATAAGTTGTAGATAGACAACATTATATCTACTTATCTGTACCTACTGTGTTGATTTGTAGATACCAGCTACTACCACACGTATTTTATTAAATCACTTTAAATGGGATAAAGAAAAATTGATGGAACGGTTTTACGATGGTGATCAGGAAAAGTTGTTTGCCGAAGCACGCGTCATTAATCCGTTTAGGAAGGGTCCTTTAATAAGCAGGAGCCGATCCTCCCAAAGTTCGTTAGTAAATGTACGTATAGTTTATTTCAATTATATTTTGTTATCGAGTCACTGCAAAAATTATGCTTTACCTATTTTTATAATACAGCCTAAAAGACCGACAAACGGAACGGAGGAATGTGGCATCTGCTTCATGATCTTGCCATCCTCAGTAAGTCTATTTTATCAACTATTTAAAAAATAGTAATAAAATAAAATAAAATGCTTTATAAAAAACATTATAAAAATCATTAGATGATGACTGGTCTGGAATGTGGACATCGTTTTTGTACCGGTTGTTGGGGTGAATACTTGACAACTAAGATCATGGAAGAAGGAGTTGGACAAACAATAGCATGTGCTGCTCACGCGTGTGACATTTTAGTCGACGATGCCAGTGTTATGCGACTTGTCAAAGATTCCAAAGTTAAATTAAAATATCAACATTTAATCACCAATAGCTTTGTCGAAGTAAATATTTGACGAATGTAATTAAATTTATTGGATGTTATTAACGTTTCACACATCTCTCTTCTTTGTAGTGCAATAGGTTACTAAGATGGTGTCCTTCTCCCGATTGCAATAATGCCATTAAGGTGCAGTATGTAGAAGCGAGACCAGTTACTTGCAAATGTGGACATATCTTCTGTTTCCACTGTGGCGAAAACTGGCATGATCCTGTAAAGTGTCATTTACTCCGCAAGTGGATCAAAAAGTGCGATGATGATTCTGAAACATCAAATTGGATCGCTGCTAACACAAAGGAGTGCCCCAAGTGTAATGTTACTATCGAAAAAGATGGCGGATGTAATCATATGGTTTGCAAAAATCAAAATTGTAAAACTGAATTTTGTTGGGTATGTCTTGGACCTTGGGAACCGCATGGTTCTAGCTGGTATAATTGCAACCGTTACGATGAAGAGGAAGCTAAAGTAGCCAGGGATGCGCAAGAAAAATCCAGATCAGCTTTACAGAGATATTTATTTTATTGCAATAGATATATGAATCATATGCAATCACTAAAGTTTGAAAGTAAATTGTACGCTAGTGTAAAAGAGAAGATGGAAGAAATGCAGCAACATAACATGTCATGGATTGAGGTATAATAATATAATAATATTATAATAATAAATAATTACAATAATTTTAAGTTTAGTTGAATTAAATTTATTGTACTATTATATATTTTATGGATGCTGGATAATCAGTAATTTTATGATCCCTAATATATTTTATATATACAATAAGATTAGAAACAAGACCGTGAATATATTATCTAAATATGAGAAACACTATTTGACAATAAAAGTTAGATATGTATTAAACTAATACATATATGTATTCTTTAAATGACTTTATCTTAGAAATGATTGCGTATCATTACTATTGAATTTTCAACATAATTCATCTAAAATATTATCTTAATCCCTCCAAATTATATACATTTTAAAACCCATAAAGAATTTATTACGAAAAATATTACGTCGGGACTCGAACCCGGATCTCTAGCATTTCATGCGAGCATTCTAAGGGCCTCTTTCGCTAACTCCGACTAATTGATGATTAACTCAATCATCACGATTACCAACATGATAACTAAACACAGTTTATCTCAGAAGAGGAAGAGAGAGGAGACTATTGGTACATTAAACTGCTATTAACACTTCTGGGAGTCATAGATTAATTTAACCAAAAGTTGATGAAAGGGGCCCTAAACTTTTAGATCACTGAGCAATATTCTTTGCAATAACTAATATGTACAGAAAGTTACGCATTGAAAGGCGAGTGTGTATAAACAATAATAAGAATGGAATAATATTTACATATACATATGATTAATAAAAGTTTCAATGACTAATTTTATCGCATTTAGATAATAAATCTTTACAAATAAAGATTTAGTATATTGGTATTTTTTTAATGATATAGGGTGCTTTCTGTTTAGTGACAAGTCGACAAATATTGTTCTATCTATGATGCAGTTCTATCTTTCTTAGCATTTCATGAAATAATAAAGACAGAACAATACCTGTGTTGACTTGTATCACCAAAGCTTACCATAATCTAATAATTTAAAATATTGTAAGTTGATTATAACAAGTTGATTATAACAAGAATTATTTATTAAGAATTATAAACTAAAAAAACATTAACAAAAATTGTTAATAGTTGATCGAAAACTTTTGATAGTCATTGTACATACATTATTTGTCAACATTATTTTGTAATATATCAAATTCTCTTTTCAGGTACAATTTTTAAAAAAGGCAGTTGATATTTTGTGTTCCTGTAGACAGACTCTTATGTACACTTATGTTTTCGCATATTATGTGAAAAAGAACAATCAATCTGTGATTTTTGAAGATAACCAAAAAGATCTGGAGAGTGCCACAGAGTGCCTCTCTGAATATCTTGAAAGGGATATCACGAGCGAAAATCTTGCAGACATTAAACAAAAGGTTCAGGATAAATATAGGTAAGGATTATGTATTATTCTTTAAAAAATGAGATATTTTGTTTGTATTCTTGTTAAAATAATATTACATTTGTGTGTGTGCTTTTAAAGATACTGCGATAGCCGAAGAAAAGTGCTTTTAGAACATGTCCATGAAGGGTATGAGAAAGAATGGTGGGATTACAAGGAATAGAGGATTCTTGCTAGTTTCATTTTTTTGGGGTGATACGAGTCCTCTTCCTTCCCACCTCTGCCCCAACTGTGATAAACCAAGAAAGAGTTAACAAGAGACAAAAATGGAGCATGTCACAAAGTGATGAACGTGTTGTATGCACTTTATACATAATATGCTCTGTGGCACAACACCTATAATGTCGTTTATGATTAATATTGAACTCAAATTATTAAAATTCAATCCGATCACAAACAAGTTGATTGGACAATATTTTGATTTGCGCTTGCTGTGTATTGTACATCATTGTAGATTCTTGATTCTTGATAAAAATGTCCCATTGTTTTAGGAAATCTTAAGAAAAGTTATATTCATTAAGACGAACGTGTGTCATTATTCGCAATATACTTAGCATATTGCGATGTAAATGTGACTTCGCTAAAAATTTACTATTTTATTTAGCATATTTTACTGATGTTAGGCGAATTGAAAGCTTTTGAATCCTGAAAACTTATTTTCTTCCTCCTTTAATATTTTAAGGATAACTGTTTAAAATAAGTTAGGTGCAATTCAAATAAATTATCCCAACTGTTTTATTCTATTTTGGACCACAATACGTCCAGGCTACAACTGCCAATGTTTAAAAACACTAAATTATCTATATGCATATCGTCAGTTCTATGTATTCATGTTTGATAGCTCTTCTCATTCTTGCTTGTGTACTGAAAGATGCTTAAATACAGAATATGTTCCATTATCGTAAAAATGTAATTCTGCCTTTTTTTCTGTATATATTTTATTTTTTTTACAAATAAATTATTTACAATATCAATTATATTCATATTGACATTGTGCAGATTAAAGGGGGCCAAGTTTGTGATATCTTTCACATGTACCATATTCCATCTCTGCATGTAAAAGTAGAAAACTACAATTATTGACTTGCAAGAAAATACTGTTACCATTTTTTCTTTTTGTAAATTAATATTTTATATATGTTGTAAATTTTTTATCTTACATTATTGTGTCTCGATTTTTAATACTTTATACATATACGTATGTGATAATATAAGTATATAATTAAGATTTACATAAATTTTATTTAGTTATTTTCCAATTTAATTAGAAATATCTTTATTATCATGTTTTATATTGTTATTTTATTAGCTCAGTGTTTCTTTTTTTATTTAATCTGATTGCTATCTACATGTATAACGCTGACGATATGTTTAGCTAACTAATTGAAGGTTAACTACAATAAGATAATTACTTATAATTGTCAATATAAGTGGCAGACGAAATGAGTTTTCCGTTTGTACAGTTAATATAGTATATATATATATATCCACACACAAATGCATAATACTTAACATAGTAATATCAATAATAGCAAAATAGATATCTAATTTTGAAGATTTATTGAACCGAAATTGTTGATTCTTACTATTATGCACATTAGGATCTGAAGTAAAAGTTGAAATGCAGTTGTTTTCTGTACAGTCGCAAAATTTGACTAGATATAAGGAAATTGTTAGATATACTCGCCAGAATTTCCCTTCTAGTTTATGATTTTATAATCTATATTCATTCAATTCAGTAAACTACAACGGCGTATTAAAGAACTTTATCCTGTATAAAAAAATAAAACTCGTAAATGTTCAAAATTTCTTGTATATGACCCAAACTTGAACTTTTAGGCCAAGTCTTCGTATTCATGAAAAAAAATGTGTGGCATATATGAAATTAAAACGTTTAGCTGTCAAACTATCAGACATATCTGAAAAAGCACCGTAAGTAGACAATTAATTGGATTTTAATTGGAATAGATTACAAACTTGTGTCAAGAATTTCATTATCCATTCGTATTTAGTATTTATGAGTATTTTAATGGCAAAACTTATACAATAATAAAATAAACTATTTTACTAGTAAAGTGTAATATATATAGAAAGACCGTGACTTTACTTTTGTAGCTATAAACCAATACGTACATTATCATGCATTATCATGTTTCTAAGATCCTTAGGGATAGATTTCTGATCATTGTTCGGTGTTGTCTTTTGTTAACATATATAATTACAAATATATAATATATATTGTAAATACTGCAATATATATATATATACATACATCCATCCACATATATACATACATACACTGTAAATCTCTAAGTGATTTAGATCTCAGTAGTGTCATGAGTATGAAAATACCTATGTATGAGATTTCAATGATGAAAATGATGGTTAATATATTTCCTTGGCAGAAATGTATCCTCCAATTTGGTTATAAAAAATAAAAAGAGGCGAGTTATTATCCCAGCATCCTACTATACAATATACTCATTGTGAAAAAAATTTATAGTTTAGATTATTTTCGCATTAGCACATGTAAATCTCAATAAGCCGAAGTTCTGGTATACAACGTAATCTATTTTAAATAAGTATGTCATTTCAAACATAATTGTCCGCATGCAAATGTTGAATTGTTACTTATGTTTGATTATTTTGTTAATTTGTATCATTGCAAGACATTCTACAGAAAATAATTACATTTCTTATTTTCAAACTACTTGTGTATAAGTGTTAAACATCAATGCCTTTTATTATTCCTCATTAATAAATGTTTTAAATTTTAGATTACATACATAATGATAAGTTAGGAGGATTGTATTCATTTCAGGTATGATAGTATTTTACATAGTCAGCATTTTTGATTATTTGCAAACATATACATCAAACGTCACTTATAGTATTTCATAATGATTAAGATCGATCCCCTTTGTCATAATACACAACAGTATATTAAAACTTATCACTTATAATTTATGATACATTAAAAAGGCTCTAACGATGTGGACTTGATGTCTTCCAAGAAAACAAAAATACTTACACCATGTAAATAAGTCTTTATATTATTTTATGAGGGATTTTTATTTGTGTGTAGTATAATATAAATCGCTTCATAAAACTATATTTAAATTTTTATAACAATAACTTGCTCTGTACCCTGTAAACTTCCATTGATAATACGATACTTGATAGTGTATGAGAAATTATTAATTTTGTAGCAAACATGAATAATGCACTTGTATATGCTTTAATACTAATCGGAATCGGAAGATAGAAAATGACATTAAATCTTTTATAGAATTGTGAGAATTATTGATCGACAATTATTTTTGTAGTAGGCATTTTTAAATCTCTCTCTTGTTTCACAATAATGATTACAGGAGAACGATCATTATTTTATAAAAGTATTTATTCTGAATATGCATATAAAATTTTTGCAAGTGTAATAGAATATATCAACGTATAAAAAAGTAGCCATTATTTGAATATACATGATGGTATAGTTCGTAGCCATCATTTTTTTCGGTATTACATATATTCCTTAAAAGTGTGGTGGCGATCGGTTCTGTGACCAAAAATACTCGAAAAATTTATTATTTAATATATTCTCTACCTAAAATAAATTATAAATAAATAGATTGCGTCTACCTAAATTCAATACAATTTCGAGATTCCTGTTTCTTGTTGCGTAAATTTCTAAAAAATTTCTTCAAAATTTTGAGTATTATTATTATTAGGAATTACTTTAATATATAAAATGTCTATTGTAGAATTAAATAAGATATTTTACTAATTTCACTAGTCTGTTATAAGGTATTGTAATAGGAAACTAGCGTCATTGTCTGTCGCTCATGCTATGTATGTTCGAGTTATATAAAAAGTAGGATGATTCTAAGCCCGAGTGACATTGATATGAAAATTGTGTGTCAACGCGTTGATGTATCTCTTGTTAATTTTGCATATTTCTCGTATAGACGTAGCAAACGCTCCGTTTGAATCGAATCGTTCCGATGTGAAATGTAACATTGCGCCTTCGTTATAAAAATCTGTTTACATTTCATTTGAAAGTGTTCTCGTAGAACGTAAGTACGCGAAAGCTTCTTGACAACAAAACATACTCAGATCACACGATCCCGTAAGGTTACATCAGGAAGTCACTGACAAGATCGTGGCGATCAAACCAAGAGTAGCTCCTGTCATTAGTAGACTCCGCCAAACTGCTCCACTAACTTCTTCGGCTACAGGATACTCAACACATAATTGTTCCTACAAAACATCAGGTTTGTATGACGTGAAATATTTGAAATACTCATTACAATATAATAATTAATAATTGTGTTTACTTACCCATCCACCATAGCCTTTGATAAAGTGTGTTATATTTTCACCAACATATCTAGAGACGTATAAAGGCAATTTCTTTTTAAGACTGTGCATTCTTCTGTCCCTAGCCCATAAAGCCAATCTGCCCATAAAAGCATATAAACAGACAATTCTGGCCCATGTGATAACGCCGTGTAAGAACAGCTCGTTGGCGACCCCCATGAATGTTTCATAAGCGGTATCCGGGACGACGTTTAAACGATTTACCATACTCGTAAAGAGAATGCTGTGTTTGTTGAGCATTTGATATACATTGTGTCTCATACTGCGGGAGACTGGATCCTGGGATATAAGATAGATGTCCTCCTTTAATAAGTATCGCATCACATCATTGGCCAAGATTTCCGCAGTCGATTCTATGGAATCATCGTGGATATTGTAACGTGGAGGTGGACTCAGTTGCGGGAACAAATATTGTAGTCGAATCTAAAAGAACAAATACACCTTCGTGAATGGCTATTTTGACTTTTGTTCTTGTAATTATCACAAAACCTGCTGAATACAAACTGAGTAATTTTTTTTACATCAATATTATAATTTCAATATTATAATTTCCACTTTACAACCTAGACAGTACACAACATCCTGAATATCCTGGGAATGTTCTTATAACATCTAACATAGAATATAACATCTTTTAAATGTCTTTAGAACGTCTTTTGGATGTATGTGCTGTGTGGGAAGATAAATGTGATATAACACATGTTATACATAACAGTTATATTGAATAGCAAATTATGACATTGATGTAATAATGTTATTGTCAGTTTGTATTCAACGGAAAATTACATTGTAAAATGCGAAATTAAGAGTCCGATAAGTTTTTTTTTACATTCGCAACTGTGATTAAAATAATCGTGGACGTTAATATAATCAGACCGGCACGAGTCGGCCGATGAGCCGTTAGTCGTCATTATTTATGATACCTGGCACATCTCGAAGAAAGACATAGCGCGGTTAGCAGCGCCGACCGCATATCGGCAGACACCGTCCTCGTTGTTAGCAGCAGCGGTGGCGGCGGGTCGCTCGTTCGACGAATTCCTGTTACCGGGGGGATCGCATTCCAGAATGCCGCCCACTCTGGAATGCAGTTCCCCTCGCGCTGACGTACCCTGCTCCTCCTCCCCACCCTCCGCGCCGAGGATCTCATTGTTCGTCGTCGTCCCGTCGTCGCCGGCCATCCTCTTCTCGCGTACCGGACTGGAGCAAGGAACCATACCCACTAAGCGCCATTCCTCGCCTCCGTCGAGATCGCTTCCGTTTTCCAACGTCTTCTCAAGTTTCCTCGGTGATGCGCCGTTCTCACATCTCATGTTGGTGTGCGAGATCGTCTGATGCGCGTGAATCGATCGCGCGGCCCCGAACGAGCAGCCGGATAAACGAGCGCACGGTGCTCCGAAAACTTGGACCACGATCGACCGATTCAACCCGGCCAACCAACCGACGGACCGACCAACCGAACCAGCCTGCCAGCCAGCGACGAAACGCTCCGGCCTCCGCTCTCTACTTTCCCGCGGCCATTTCCGAAGCCGATGCCGAGAAGCCGAAACCGCGCCGCGCCGCGCCGTGCCGTTTCCTCCGCTCTTGCTCCGCGTCTCGCACCTAACTTCTACCGTACCGCTCCCTTGGCCTGCCTGCTTAATGCTTGCCTGCCTGGCGATGCCGCCAACCAGCCCCGACCCACGAATGTTTCACATCACTACCACTACCGCTTATCTCGAGACTGTACCCCACCGCGCAACGTAATGCCGAGTACTGTATGACGTAGCTCAGCGTTTCTCAGCGTCGGTCATCTACGGGGCTTGTCGAGCGCAAAGTATCGTGTTCCGTTTGACGGTGCTTGACCTCTGATGTCTCTGACCTATACAGTACACTTTAACCGAGGAATATTCTGGAAATGTATTCCTTAGAATGTAGAATATTCTGAGAATATTCTCGAGATGTAGGATGTCCTAGAAAAGTCCTTAGGACACAGAATGTCCTCGGGACATAGAATATCTTAGGAAAGTTCAAGGGACATAGGCTGTTTTAGGAAAGTCAGGATGTAGAATGTTCAGAGAATGTCCTTAAGACTAGGATGTCTTTAGGATATTTCTTGGAGGTCTATATGGGAAAAATATAGCGACAATGGTTTTATATATTGGGAATAACTGAAAGATGTTAAATTCACGATTACATATATTGATCATAATTCTTCTTCTTTATATTATGATTGATTTCATACGGGTTTGATAGTTTCCAAAAAGAAAACGTGTAAACCGAATAAAATGTTTTAAGCAAACAAATATCTATTAGATCACGAAAAGCGATTAGTTTTTCAGAAACTTTAAAAAAATTGTTGCCCGCACTTAGTGACTCTTCTGATGCACTTCTTCTTTAAAAATTAGCTTCGTCCCGGAGATAATGGTAATTGGTAACAATCCTTTCCCTTCAACTTCTCACAAATAGATCGAATAAACGTTGTTAAATAAATACAGAATTTTGTTAATAATACGATTACGAAATTACAAAAGACGATTAGTTTCATTAGAAACTTTCAAAAATTTTAACGTCCACACTCGATGATTCTTTTACTCGATGATTCTTTTTCTGGATCAGAACTTTTTCCCTTTTAATGGCACTCGTTATCCCTTCATCGGATTCGACTCGGCCGAAATAATAGCCATATTATAGTTGAATATATATATGTATAGAGCTGGAAATATTTAGGATGAGCACAAAAGTCAATTATTTCGTTAGAAACTTACAAAAATTGTTGGTCCACACTCGGCGAGTTCTTTGATGCAACTCAACTAAGCGCGGATGATTGAGAGCCCATGGCATGAGCGCAGAGCAGCGCCGGGCGATCGCCGACGCGACGGCACTCTCACAAACGCAGCGCGCGCTACACCTTCGCACACTAGCGTAACGACTCTCTATGGATCATTCACGTTTCCGCCCCACCACCGTGCCGCTCCGACACGTGCACCGTGTGCATACACGCGCGGTGCCGCACGCTTATGTGTCAGTGCGCCCATCTCGCCCCGCTGCGCCGTTCCTTTCCGCCTCTCGTTCCCTCCTTCACAGTTCACGGGGCGTTCGCTAATAACTTCAACCCTTTCTAGCGCGCGCGCATGAGTTCGCGCTCTCTCACGCACGCGCAGAAGTGCGAGCGGGTTTACCTGCGCGGTGTACCTTCAAACAGCGGAGGAATGGAATTTTCGATGGAACGCGGAGTTTATTCGATGCATCTCGGTGCGCGATTATTACGGTTCGAGATTCTGAAGAGGATATCTTGAGATAGCTCGAATGAACGGCGAGATTCTTAGCAGATTCTTTGTTATTCGAAATGTCGGAACACGACACGCTAGGGACCACGTTCATGAACTACAGGCTTGGAATCGAGCGTCGCGACAGATATCGCTTCGTTCCGAGTCACGGCTTGCGCAACCGTTGAGAAATTTGTATTCATTCAGCTTTTCCGCGCGCCCCTCTCTCCCTCCTGAATTCCTTAGAGATTGCAAGCGCGCGCGTGCGCGCGTGCATGCATACCTACTCGCGAGAGATGCATTATTTGCCGTAACGACGCGGAGAAACGGTGAAAGTCTCGGCTATAGTTACCGTAGACCCTGCAAATAACTGTAGACAAAATCGTTCACAATGAAGTTAGCTGAGAATTCTTTACTTGAATCGAATCGTAAGCCAAATAAATTATTTTTTATTTAAGTATTGATAACAAATACGCGATTTTTACATTTGAATTGATATTATTTGTGTGATTTATTTTCATATATTCTGCATACGCCTCCCTGAAGTCTGTATCAGACTACGTATTGGAGATCGAGGAGATTGCAAATTGAATATTAGAATTTGACACAGATAATGTTAATTTTTTAATCCATTTTGTTTTAATTGATTAAATTCTAATCTTCAATTTTCAATTTTCAGTCTCCAATGAGCTGGTATTCATAGTCGATTATTACTTTAAGACTGTCTTAGGTAATAGGAATGTCTTAGGATGCTAATGCGACTCTGTGCTTGATTTATGATCTTACATCTTAAGACTGCATTTAAAATGATCTTAAATATGAAAATCGACTATAAACAGTGGTCTTAGATTGGCTTACAACATCTTAAGAGTACCTAAGACAGTCTTAAATATAAGAACTGACTCGACCATAGTCTGATATAGACTTTACAGAAATTCAGTGTGATACTGGTTAATTTAATATTGAAAGTTACAGATTGATATTTATAATTTTTATCGAAAAGGATTTTTGTGGTTATGTTAAAATATTTAAAAATTTAGAGATACAGATCTGAAAATAATTTTATTAAAATTTTTTGCAGCCTTGTTCATTATATGTTTGAGAGTTCTACATAATTAGTTTAATGAGTCAACAAAATTATTTTCAGATCTGTAACTAGCTAAATTTTAGATAAAGCTACTTTATTATTTCTGTGTATATTTAAAACCGTCTTGAGATTATCAACGAATCACAGAGCCATGTCAGCTTAAAACATTATTTATAGTTTTTAAATAAAAACGGATTAAGAGTAACGATCAAGTAATTAATTATTTATTTTGAGAACTAAAGGCATTGTTGTTTCAATACTTTTTAGTATTAAATTTTTGTAAGAGCTGAATAATTCATAGAATACACGATATATGCTCATACATATCGCGGTACAATGGGACGATGTGGGCCATATTAGGTAAATCGCGAGCGTAGACATTTCCACGAAAGGATTATACTGAAACTGGTCCGTGTTGTCAGCCGGTCGTCCGTGTCAGTCAGTGACGTAACCAGGTGAGCGTGTACCCGTGTCGGGGTTATCAATGAATCGGCAAAGATATGCACGAGACCAGGCATTCCGTTCTTGCACGGTGAGCTACTCTCGGCCAGTAAGTATACCTTTCTCGCTGTATCTTTTTCTACATAGTTACATCAAATGCGAAAGTTCCTGAGCTGCGGGCTTCAGAGCGCGGATACAGAATTCCATCGCATACAACTTGAAGGTGTCTGCGTATGGTTCTCACACGTACATATACACGTACGTGTGTATGGCAGCTCCTCTCTCGCGAAGTTTCCCCCCTAATTACGTCCCTGCCCGCCTCTCCGCGTGCCATGCCGCGCGGAGACCGTGCCCACCACTCCTTTCTGCAGTGCAACCTTCAAAGGCCACTGAATGCGTCCATGAATGAAGTAGGAAAGTTGCTGGAGTACAGATCGGCCGGATGTGTGCATACTTAGGTGGATAAAGAAAACGAGAGCCGTCGCCGCGGCGGCACTCTACGTCAGAGTGCCACGCCGTTGTCGATCAAAACCTGTTTCAGATCGCTGCCGGTGATACAGGCTAATGTACCGTGTCCGCGATCATTTTCCGCCCCTTTACAGATATGATTTAACTTTAGAACAGTTAAATATTATTCTATTTTAATTACGGTAACAAGCTTGATTCTGAAACTCGAGACAAAGAGAGAGAGAGGGAAATTGTTAAATTATTAATACGATTAAATCGCAACACGATTTAGTTGCATTTCTAAATTTTACGTAGGCATTGATGCTTCGATTCAGGAGTTCAGGTCATTCATCAGAGAATCCTCTGAGTGCACTTTACCGGTACGCGATCGGGAATGTTTCTCGATCGTGAAGCGCCTTTCACATCGCGAAGTAAGATAGTGGCGCACCGAAGACGTTGAAATATCGCCACCGGACGCGAATAAATTGATGAATGAGTCATGAGTATAAATGAGATTTGATAGAGCCAAATTATTTCCGTATGTCGCTTCTTCGAGCCTGGTGAACAAGGGCGGTGGGAGGAATAGATAAATAGATAGATAAAAGCGTTTACTATTGTATATTCAACTCTCTAAGAACAAAATAAGTAAAAAAGAGTGGAACAACAAAAATATACAAAAATAATACAAAAAAATAGTAAGGAGGAAGAGAGAAAACGTGTGGACAACGTACTCTCAATTAGGATTGTTATATTTGACAATTTCGAAAATTCGAAGTTTCGAAAGAACCCCAGTTTTGTAATAAGTTAACTCCAAACTTTCGAAGTTTAATGTCTTCAAAGCTTCGAAATTTTGAGAGATACATTTGTGCGAATAGAGAAAAAATGAAAATATATTCGTAATACACTTTTTGTACAAATTTGTCGCCAAAAATTGGAAGTTGAAACAAAAATATATTGAAATAAAAACATTACATAAATTACAAGAGCATAAGTACCATCAAATAAAAGAAAAAAATAGTACCTGAAATCAGGAATGCTCCACACTGTGAGAGAAAAAATTTACGGTCTCATCCAATTCAGACTCCTAATATCAGTGGTTTATCTATATATTTGATCATATCGGAACTGATGATATAAATAGTTTTATTGCTATCGATTGTCATTTGTTTAAGAATAGTCAAAATACTGGCAGTACATTTGTAACGTTGAGGCATACGCGAAATATATGTATATATGAGAAGTATTGTATTCTGTATTTCAAAAGAAAATTACCGCAAGTTCACCTTCAATCAAATCGTTATATATTCATTATTACCTCGCGTGTTTCGTATCTCGTGCTAACATACTAAGAAAAATACATGTGATATAGAAAAAATATTCGCTATTAGTGTGTAATTCGAAATGTCATTTTTATTTAAAAATTAATCGAATTTGAAGACACTAATAAGAGTTATATACTCGTAAATATATTTTGTATGTTTTTTAAAGAAAAATATATTCGCTACATTAAATCAATAATTATATAATTTTATAATTTTGATTCTTTTAAACTTCGAAGAGTGAAGTGTAAAAGCTTCGAAGCTTTGAAACTTCGACCTTCGAAGATGTTAATCTGATGCATTGGCTCTTCAAAGCTTCGAAATTTGAATGTCGAAGCCTTCGAAACAAATCACCAGCTCTACTCCTAATAGAGAGGAGGATTACCGCTCACACGCCGCGTTACTACGACAAATTATATTATTATACTCACTATTGA